GTTGTCCTTGACACACCTTCATTTGATATTAGACTCATAGTCGTCTGACGCACATATCATACTTTATCTATTCATTTGGCTTGGTTTGTCTGATTCTCATGATGTGCCTTGCCTTGACTATTCTTCATCTAAGTTGATCATTGGGCTTCATCTGATGTTAAACCCACTTTTGTCTTGTTCTAGATTTTAGTCTTGTTTTGGCCTTTCGTCTGATACTTCAAGGTTTCGGCTTATAGTAGGCCTCATCTAGTATTTGTTGAATGTTCTTCTATCTTTTGATCAGACCTAGTCTTGTTGCTTGATCAACCATCGACTGATGTTCTTGTTTAGTTCGTCCAGGCTTTGTAGATCTTGTGTAATGCATTTGATCTTGCATTAAACGTTTGCTTGTCGAACCTGTGTTACTTTTGTGTCGTTTGTTTACTTCTATGTCAAAATTCAATCATAACCTAGGTATATTTGTACTTTTTCTGGCATTGTAGCTGCAAAGGTGTTGTCTTTTTCTGAAAGGTAGGTATACTTGCTCTAACACATGCAACTTTGACTTGTGAATACGTGCTAGTCCATTTTTCTTCTCTCTTCTCATGTTTTTTATGACTTCATTTGTTCTTCTGAGAGTGAGGATGATAAGCAATATTTCTCGTTGTGACATAGTGGACTTTAGAGGTTTTTCAATATTCTTTGTCTGCGTCTAGAATTTAAGTCTCCGTCTGAGAGGTAGACTTTGACTAGACTTTGACTTTTCTTTTCATCTGGTCAATTTCTGAAGATGGAATACTTTAGTTCCGTCTGGAACATTCTTTCGTCTTGTGTATATCCATTGTTTGTGGTCTTGTATCATCTGAGGCTTCATTATTTTTATTCTTGTGCTGGGCTTGGCTTCGTTTAATCTCTTCATCTGATGCCTTGTAGCTTTTACCCTTTGTCTTAGTTCTAGTGTGGGAAGTTGTACATGCTCTATTCTTCATTTTTCCTGTACTTATGTTCTTCTGAAACACTAATACACTTGTTAGAAATAACATGTATTATATTTGTCTCATTCAAAACCTTGCTGGGAATTGTTTCGTCTGACTCGACATGAATATGGGGCAAGGTTTACAACTTTGATAGCTAGCATTTCTCTTTAGTTTTGCTCAGTTAAAAATGGACTCAATGTCTTCCTTTTATAGCCTCTTAAAATATGTTTGTTGGAGCTAGCTTAAATTTTAAGCAATGTTGACATCAACTTGTACTTTCACTTTAGTGTTGTCTGCACATCTTTCAAAAGTAATATGCTTTTGAAACTTTCTTCTGAGCATTCTTTTGAGCAACCTTCTGAGTAAGGTCTTTAGCGCTAGTTTTCTAATAAGCTAACTAAAGCTTTTTGATGTTGCTTTTGAACTTACTTTTGTGATTCCTTCTGAGAAATTGAGTTTGAATTGAAGCTTTCTAATGTAAAGGTTTAATTAAAGATACTTCTATACAAGGTCTTCAAGGCATCTTCCCTAAGAGAAGGTGTCTAACTTGAACTCTCTCCAATCTTCAACACAAGATGCTCATCTTCTAGCTTAGGATAAACATTGTCTCCTAGGCTAATAACAATCCTTAACTAGTATTGAATCTTCTTTTAAGTTGTCACAATGATGTCTTCATGAAACTTATATATAAATATATCATTTATTATTAGGAATTGGTTTCATGTTGTTTGGACCTCTATAGTACAAGTTATTCCAAAAACATTATAACAACATCATGTTATTACGGGCAAATCAACATTTCCATGTTGTAGAGATAATTTGTCCATGATAGAGGTCTTATTTGCCCATGATTTCTTCATCAAAGTTGTAGATAATTCTTTTATCTTTCAATAGCCATGAAGTTTGGCTAAAATTCATGGCTACAACTCAAGTTATGTGCAATATACAGTAGCTTTGTTTTAATCAAGACCAACAATATCTGCAACTTCTCATGCAATTTTGCATATTATCTACTCCATATAAGCTCTTAGCTTCTTCATGAAGAATGTAGACACTTCGTTAGCCTTTTCATAACCATCAAGATCTTCTTAAATGAATTCCCAAAACTCAGGATATTATATAGATAATCTTTCCTTCTAAGCCATTATGAGTCCTTGCTTCTAAAGCCTCATTATGATATTTATGCCATATTGATTTTGAGCCATCTTTTAAGAATCATTATGAATAAATATTGAGTTTACTTTAATTGATTTTCTAAATACACTAAGTAAACTCATTAGTAGCATAAATACTCAAAAGGCTTATGACATTTGTTCATAAGTTTTGTCATAATTAAAACATTAAAGGCTTTGGCTTAACAATGTGGTCTTATAGAAATAGTCTCTGCTTCTGGAACAAGCGTATTACCACTACACATCATTCATAGGTGTGAATGTTTGAGTCCCATTATGTTCAAAGTTCCATTCATTTTTACTAAAATTCTAAAACACCTACGAGGAAGAGGAATACAAGTGATGATGAGTGTGTGCAATGTGCTTTTATGTGACAAACTTAAGAAAAAGTGAAATTAGTATGCTTGCACAAATGGTAAAAAAAATTCAAATTTTAAATGTTTAAAAATAAAATACAAGATAAATCGGATTGAGTTAACTTCATCGAAGTAACACTATAAGCTTTATTTAATTTTATGATATACATTGTTTAATTGTCGATATGTTTGTGTTTTTAGTTGTCTTAGAACTATAAGGGTCAAGGGATCCTCGAGAGTTATGTTATTTTTGAGATTATTTTAGTTAAGGTCAAGTTGACAAAATTTAGGAAAAATGTATCTAAGGTTTTTCTTAAGTCAAGAACTTCATAAGTTCATATCCTAAAAATAGGTAGAGAGATAGGCTATGGAGCTATAGGGATAATTTTCTCTTTTTGATTCTGCAAGAACCTTCTAAATCCTTCCCTTAATTGAGTAGTAGTAATAGATTGGTGTATTCAAAGTTAGTTGTTGGTTGAGAATCAAGGTTGAGTCCCCATGTAGGAAGTTTCGGATGCTCCCCTTTTCGTCCTTTCCTATTCTAATTTCAGAGTGATTCGAGGTAAGAAAATTTTGTTGATTAATGTATGTTGAATTATAGCGATTATGATGGAAATCTTGTTGAGAAACCGGATTGATGTTGATTCCTCTTCAAGTTCCTCCCTAGACCTTTGGTTCCTTGATTCTTCTTAAGCTTCTCCAAGGTCTCCAATGGAGGAAGAGACCTTGGAAGCACCACGGTTTGGCAGAAACTCTCTCAAGAGACGTCACTCTTGGAGAAGAGACAAGTCTCTTCAATTCTCACCACACTCTTCTATGGAAGGGATAAGAGAACTGGATGAATATCAAAGAGGTTAGGATTTTTAGAAGAGAGAAAAATTGTTGAACAATTTTCGGATTTCACTCTCAAATATTCCAAAAGTGATTACAAAGGTAAGGAAAATGTTTATACAGGGTGAGGGAAACTTATGGTGCAAGCTAGGCTAACTATGGTTCAAGAGAACCATGGTTAGCTTAACTTAACCGATCTAGTTAGCTTAGAAGGCTTGTGGAGCAAGCTTCTAACTTAGAAGCTTGGGAAGTAAGCTAAGTTAGAAGCTTGTAGCACAAGCTTCCCAAGTGTGCAAGAGAAGCTAAGCAATTCGGCCAAGGAATCCAAGCTAGGTGGCCCACTTTTCTTTTTCCATATTTAATCCAATCCAAAAACTTGGAGTTGGTTTAGTTAGGTTCACCATATGATGGTGAGACCTAGCTAAATCAATTCCTTGAAAAATATGGAACAAAACAAGCCCAATATGTAAAATTTGGCCTAGGCCCAGTTCTGGCCCAATTACTACTTGCACCTACACACCTTGCTATTTGTCACCCCACTTTTCCTACTGAAAAATACAAAATGAATGACCTTTAATACAAGGTCAAATGGAGCAAAAGTCTCCAAGTAACATACCCTAAATTCCTAAAGGGTAACCTAAAATAAAAGAAAGAAAGTGTCTCACAAATACAAAGGTAAAATATACCTATACAAGTATCTACTATATACAAGGTATAAGAAATCAAACTATACAATATATGTACAATAGAGACTGAGACTAAAAAGAGGAATCATACTCAATACTCATATTGAGCATAGGTCTAATAAGCACCTCTTCTGTAGAAGCCTCCTCTAGCCTCCTAACCATGGACCTAGTTAAAGGCCCAATGGTCTTCAAGTGTGAGCCTCCTTGGATCAACCTTCACCCTTCTTGGTCTTACCTCTTCCAAAGGGATCTTTGGGGATTATATTTCCATCAAATTATTTTTGTTTGGATTCATTGTTTGATGGGTGAAATTAATTGAATTCAAGAAGGAAAAGCTTTTTGTTTGAGTGTTGTGTATTAAAGGTGTTTTGGAAGAAAAATTGGTGATTCTTGAAATCTATGGTTGCATCATCTCTTTGACTCTTCTTTCTCTTTCAATAAGAATGAAAGTAACTTTGAACAAGAAGGGATCGAACATTTACACCTATAAATGATAGAAGCTTGAATGATCACCGAACCAAATAAAAAAGATATGATATAATAATTTATGACTTACATAAATTTTATAGTATATCAATAATTTTAAATTATATTTTTTATTATTTTTTCAAATATAGAATTTCATAAATAATGAATTTGGTTATTTATTGGAAAGAAAAATTTTAAAATGAAAAATTTAATTACTTTATCCAAACATAATGTTTAAAAAATGAAGAAATTTAATATCTTTGTAAAAAAATAAAGAATTTTTAATTAAAAAATTTAAAATTTCTTAAAATAAAATTCTGTATCCAAACACAACATTGTCAAATTATATTAAAAATATTGTATAATTTTTTAGAGTTTCTTTAAGACATATAATTTATTACTAAAATTTATAAGTATGAAATACTTTACTTTTTATTTTATTTTTATTTTTTTATTTTTTTATTTTTTATAATAAAAATCGAACCATATTAGTAGAATTAATGACTCACAGAGGTCCGATTTTTAAATCATTGTTCTTACCGGGAGACGAAAAGGAAATGTCTGATGCAACATCCAGAGCAACAAAATTTTTGCCACACCCTGCTTCAACCTCTGTTGACTGTTAACTGACACTAACAATGTCTGCTTCCAACGCTCTCAGATCATCCAAACTGGTCTCATGGAAACCCGTTCGTACTCTCTCTCTTATTCTTCTTTAGTTCCCAAAACAATTCAACAATCCACAAACCCAACTCCTTCAAACGTTCGGTTACACTAAGCTCATTAACGCGTTTGTGCAGACCGGGACGCTTCAAAAAACCCTAGCTGGTTCCGTTGAGCGGCGCGGCAAGGCTCTGCACTCGGGGAAGGTTTCGACGGTGAGGCTGTGCCCCGAACGCGCTTCCCGAGGCAGGTACTTCGATTTTCGCTCCAACTCCATTCCCGCCTCCGTTGAGTTCGCGCAGGTCTCGCCTCTCTGCACCACTCTCTGCAAAGACGGGTTCCGAGTTCGAACCGTGGAGCACTTGCTTTCGGCCTTGGAGGCTGCGGGTGTTGATAATTGCAGGATTGAGATTGAGGATTTTGATGCTCAAGAACACGATGTCGAGGTAACGTTAAATGCGGATTGATTCCTTTCTGTTGGTGGAAATATGTGTAGAGTTTTGAATTCGCTTTTAGTAATGGAATTTGGTTGGTACTTTAATTCTGATATCGCTTTAGAGGATTTTAATTTGAAGGTGTTGATTGATGGTATGTCTATCTACTGTTCGTAAAATGGGCAATGCAAAAACATGACTACCAACGAACAAGTGAACTGTGAAATTTTGATCATATGTGCTTTATCTAGGAGAAATAGAATGAGAAGGATGAGTTGTTTGGATAGATAGAAATAGGAAGGAAAGAATTAGAAAAAATTGTCTCAGCTTGTTGCGTTTGTTTGGATGAGTGGAAAGAAGAGCGAGAATAAATAAATAAATTATATGAAAAATATTTTTATGTTAATTAAAAATCTAATTTTTTAATCTAGTATTTATCTTAACATAATTTTTATTATCTTTTGAAAAATTCAAAATTAAGACAAAAAAATGAAAAAAGAAAAATCATTTCCTTCTCATTTCTTTTCAAATTGAGGAAAAAAGTGTTTTTATGGTGAGTCTTACTGAAGTAATTTCCTTTCTTTCTATTTCTCCTCTCAAACAAATAGTGAAAATTTATTATTTTTATCTATTTTTTCCAGTTCATTTCTATCTAATCAAACAAGGGAGGAATATTTTGATTTGACTAGAACTTCTTAATCTAGTTTTGATAGACTTATATCAACAATTGTATACTGTACGAATAGTTGGCAAACAAAATAAGCTATCACAATATTAACCAGCTGATCAGAAAAATATTTGGTCAAGAATTTTATTTAGTCGTAAGCTTGCTAACTGTCCCAGTTTGCAGATACTGGTTGTGAGACGAATCCCCTGTATAAGAATAGTACAGTAATTCATTTTAGGTGTCTTGCATATTCTCCTTTGCTCTGCTTCGTCAAAATAAAGATATAGTATTTTGTGGAAAACTTTGATGAATTATTTTTCTTTCCCCCCTCCCCCTTTCAGCTTTTGTAATAAATAGTTTTGTATTAGAAAAATATTATTTGTTTCTTTCATTTCTCATACAGATTCCTATATTTGATGGGTCAGCAAGGGAATGGGTGGCAGCAGTGGAAGAAGTTGGTTTAAAGGTGGCAACTGATCCTGAGGGCAAAAACGTTGAGAAAATGGCACCACATGTGAATGAACCAGTGTATGCTTATAGAAATGATTCTTTTCTCGCTGCATTTCCTTCAGAAGTGGTTCGAATAACTTATGGCATCAACTTTCCACAGGTAAAGATAGGTTGATGATACATTGGATTGAGAATATCAATCATCGACATTTTTTCTTGGCATGTCATTTAGAAATTTCTGAGTTAGTTTGGATAAACATTTTAAAAAGCCCTCGTAGGAGAAGAAAAGGAGGTAAAATGAATAATATTTTTGTACAAGTTAAAATCAATGTATCAATCTCAATTTTTAACAAGCTTTCTCATCTAACATTTCCAAAGGTAGAGGTTCATGCGTTGATTTTAGCTTTATGGTTCATTTTACCTCATTTTTACCTCCTATAAATACTTTTCAATAAGTTTATCCAAATATTGGTCCTATGTGCTTTCTGAATTTTTATAATATGCCATGCTTACGAGACACCTAATATTATTTTGATTTTGCCCTTATGTGTTTCATGGATTTAACCAATGCCCCTGTTAATCAGTTTCTCATTATCTATAGATTTGTATAAAAAGTCAAGATTATATACCATTTAGTTGTACAGATTAAAGAACTCAGTTGGTGGTTGATGCATTTGGTTGAAGTAGGCATTTGAAAATGAAATGCTTTGCTTGCTTTTCTGTTTTACTCTCTAGATCATCATGACTTCCTACTTTTTTAAAGATGAAAGAATCTAATTTACCTCTCTTTCAAAGGGATTACACATTTATTCTTCTTGAGAAATAGACTAATTATGTGAGTCTGTCTATTTTTAGTAGAGAAAATCTTCATCTTTTCTTTTGCTTTTTGGTGATACCAGTCACAAGTCAAACTGCTGTAGAACTTTTTCCCACTTGGCATTTCTGTAGTTTTCTTCCACGGTAAGGGTATTTGACAATTGTCTCACCAGTGGCATTTTTGTGATTTTTCTGAAAAGCATGGTATTTTATCAGAATAGTCCTTTAGTTTTTTCCTAGTGCAAAAGCACAATGAACTGTTCTAATTATTTACAATTATCTAATAATAATGTAGGGAAATTATCAACAAAAAATTAAAGAAAGTGCAAATATCTTGATGCCTTTGTCTTTTACACTGTTGATATTTGTAATTTTTCCAAAGAATACTAGGGTACAAATATTTTAATTTACATCAAAGTGATTTTGGTACAATTAGGTCACATCTGCTAAGATTTCCCTTTATAGGTTGGGCATTGCATAATGAACAAATACACTTTCCTTTTGCAGGCACCTGTTATTGGCTGTCAGTGGTTTTCTACACCCCCCTTGGATAATTTGGTATATTCCATGCATATAGCTTTGTCAAGAACCTTCTGCATTTATGAGGAGGTAAGTTCTAATGTTCCTCCATTCGTATTCTAGTTGATTTCATCTAGTGGAAAATCAATTCAGATGTAAGATGCCACTTGTATGAGGAACTTGAATATTTGGTGGTAAGTTTGTAAGAGAAGAGAGAGAAGCGAAAAGAGGGAAGAAAGTAACAGATTCTGTAACTGAATTTGTATTATGTGTATTGTATTTTAACAGTATGTAGAACACTATATATATAATACAAGCTGAGTACTCACTAACTAACTAAACTTTAGTCAGTTTAGTAAACTAGAGTTAGCAACCCAGAGTCAGTTTAATAACTGCTCTTTACAATACATTCACACCCCCCACCGCCCACAAACTTAAGTTGGTTGAGAAGTGTTAGAATAGTGGATTAAGCCTAACTCAACCCTACAAAACCGGCTTGTAAGGTGAGGGTTGCTTTCCACTTATATACTATTCAATTGCCTACTCTCTAGTCGATGTGGGACTCGGGTTTTTCCCAATACACCCCCTCACGTCTAGCACTATTGGGCTTGGTACGTGGATAAATGGTGAGTGACCCTTTTTTAATGATCTAGGATAAGCGGGACTTGGGTTTTTCCCAATACACCCCCTCATACCTATGAGGCATGCATCAATGGTGGGTGACCCATTTTTAAAGTGGATCTAAATGGCTCTGATACCATGTTAGAATAGTGGATTAAGCCTAACTCAACCCTACAAAACCGGCTTGTAAGGTGAGGGTTGCTTTCCACTTATATACTATTCAATTGCCTAATCTCTAGTCGATGTGGGACTCAGGTTTTTCCCAATAAGAAGCAAAAGGAAGCTCAACAACTTTAAGTTTATCTCTCAAAAATAAAAATCTGGTAGAAGAGAGAGGCTTGGTGAGAGCATCAGCCCATTGATCTTGAGCAGGGATGTGTTGAACAGTGAGTTGTTTGGCAAGAACTTTTTCTCTAACAAAGAAAAGATTAATTTCCATATGCTTTGTTCTTGAATGTAGAACATGATTGTGAGCAAGTGAAACTGTGCTTTGGTTATCACAGTAAATTGTAGGAGTGGAAAAAGGAACCCTTAATTCATGAAGTAGAGTTTGAATCCATAGAACTTCAGAAGTAGCTTGAGCAAAGTTCTGTACTCAGCCTCTGTACTTGATCTAGCCACGACAGGTTGTTTCTTGGACCACCATGAAATTAGATCTGGACCAAGAAAAATAGTTGCACTAGATGTTGATCTTCTATCATTAGGGTCAGCTGCCCAATTAGCATCACAATTATGCATAAAGGGAAAGGGGTTGATGAACACGAGCTTGTTGAAGATGTAGACCATAAAACATTGTACCCTTAAGATACCTTAAAATTCTCTTGACTGCATTCCAATGGCTTTCAAGAGGATGAGCCATAAATTGACAAACTTTGTTGACAACAAAACTAAGTTCAGGTCTGGTTATGGTTGCATATTGAAGTGCTCCAACAACTGATCTGTAGAATGTAGAATCGGCTAGAGTGTCTGAACCATGTTTAGATAACTTGCAAGATGACACCATAGGAGATGAAATAGCATTGGCTTCACCGCTTCAAGCATATTAGTTCTTTGAAGCAGATCTCTGATGTATTTACTTTGTGTGAGGAGAACAGATCCATTCTGTAAGTGTCTGACTTCTATTCCCAAGAAGTAGTCTAGCTTGCCAAGTTGTTTGAGAGAAAAAATAGAATTAAGCTGATTTATAAGTTGCTGAGTAAACTGAAATGAATTCCCTGTAATTATAATGTCATCAACATATACAAGAAGATAGACAATATTAGATTGCATGTGATAGGTAAACAAAGAAGGATCACACTTGCTGGCCTTAAATCCAAACTGTAGTAAAGTATATTGTAGTCGCTCAAACCATTGACGTGGAGCCTGTTTTAGACCATATAGTGCCTTGTATAGTTTGCAAACAAGAGTAGAATCATGAACTTCAAATCTAGGGGGTTGTTGCATATAAACAGTTTCATTTAGTGAGCCATTTAAAAAAGCATTGTTTACATCTAATTGATGAATGTCCCAATGATTTGAGATAGCTAGAGTGAGGATCAATCTGATAGTAACAGGTTTGATGACTGGTGAAAAAGTCTCATTAAAATCAAAACCTGGTTGCTGAAGAAAACCCTTGGCTACTAATCTGGCTTTATATCTGTTTACAGACCCATCAAAATTTTCTTTAATTTTGAAAACCCACTTGCAGCAAATGGCATTTCTGTTAGGAGGTAACTGTACAAGAGTCCACGTATTTTTTTTTAAGAAGAGCAGAATATTCCTGTTTCATGGCTCAAGCCATTTATGATCCTTTAAGGCTTGCTTAACATTCTTTGGTTCAAACTGAGCAAGAAGAACAGAGGGATACAATTTGGATTTATGAATGCCAGATTTAGATCTAGTTTGCATAGGGTGAACATTCTGTGACTGGACAGGAGAAGGAGACTGTGTATTAGTGGTGGACAGAGATGAAGTTGAGTTGGTAGACAAAGAGCTAGGTGTAGAACAAATAGGATCAGTGGAGCAAGTAGAATTGTGTACAGTGAGTTGTGGAGATAGAGGTTGAATGATTGGAATGGAAGTGGATACCTCAGTTTGAGAGCTAGATAATGTGTGTGATGATTGAGTTATGGATGAAGGAAACAACTCATGATAAGGAAACCGATACTCATTGAAGACAACATCTTTGGAGATAAAGATTTTGCCTGTAGGAGAAAGACATTTATATCCTTTATGAGAAGTAGAGTACCCTAAAAATACACACTCATGAGATCTGAAATCTAACTTGTGTTTACTGTATGGTCTTAGAAGAGGAAAACATGCACATCCAAAGGTTTTAAGACAAGTGTAGTCTAGAGACTGTTTAAATAAAACAGTATATGGAACAACATATTTGAGTGAAGCAGTTGGTAATCTACTAATAAGATAAACAGCTGTACAAAATGCTGAATCCCAAAATTTCAAAGGAAGAGACGCATGACTAAGAAGAGTTAAGCCAAGTTCTATTATATGTCTATGCTTTCTCTCAATTACTCCATTTTGATGATGAGTGTGAGGACATATGACTCTATGATTAACACCCAAGTCTTTTAAGTATTTAGACAAAGGTCTGAATTCACCACCCCAATCAGTTTGAAGACTTTTAAGAGAAGTATTACATTGTAACTCAACCATCATTTTGAATTGTTTAAACACAGTTAGTGTATCAGATTTATTTTGCAGTAGATAGATCCATGTAAAACGTGAATAAGCATCAACAAAGCTTAAGTAATATTTGTAACATAGTAGTCAATAGCGGGTGGAGCGGCCGCTATCGCGGCGCTCTGGAGCGGAGCGGCCCGCCCCCGCCATTTGGATGTTGTCGTGGCCGGAGCGGCCGTATCGGTGGCGAAATGGAGCGGCCAGAAACGTGAGAATCGCGGCACCTTTTTGACCTACCCTTCATTAAGGGTAAGTTTGTCTTTTCGTTGGGCTTTATTTGCCCTAATTTTTCCCCTCCCTCTCGCGGAAGTCTTCCTTCTCATGTCTCGCACTCCCTCTCCTCTCTCTCTCTCTCGGACGACTATCGTTTCTTCTCTGTTGAGGCAGTCGTTCAGCTCCGACGCACTACGGTTCTGACGGTCCTCCAGTTCCGACGCATTCGTCCAGCTCCGACGCTCGTCCAACTCCGACGCTCGTCCAACTCCAACGCTCGTCCAACTCCGACGCGCCTCCAACTTCGACTCTGACGCTCCGATGTGCCCCGTCTGTCTTCTTTCTCTTCTATGTTCCTATTTTATATTTCAACAGATTTTTTTTTTATTTCTCATTAGATTTAATTAAGCAGAATTTTTTTTAATTTCTGAATAAATTTAATTTAGCAGATTTTATTTTTAATTTCTGATTAAATTTAATTCAGCAATTTTTTTAATTTCTAATTAAATTTAATTCAGCAGATTTTATTTTTAATTTCTGATTAAATTTAATTCAGCAATTTTTTTTAATTTCTAATTAAATTTAATTTAGCAGATTTTTTTTAATTTTTAAATAAATTTAATTCAGCAGATTTTTTTTTTTAATTTTTGATTAAATTTAATTCAGCAAAATTCGTTTTTAATTTTTGATTAAATTTATTTAAGTAGTTTTTTTTTTAATTTCTGATTAAATTTAATTCAACAGATTTTTTTTAAATTTCTGATTAATTCAGCTATTTCTCTATTTCTAATTCAGCAGCTTTTTTTTTTTTTTT